TCTAAAGCCGCAGTCTGAGCTTTGCCATTCTTATCTTGCCTGATAGACAAATTCAGTAATAGCCTTTAAACACATCAGTATTAGACCTGGAGAAATGAAAGCCATATTGTTTAACCAAAAAGAGGCTGTGTGAAGTAAGGTGCATAACCAAATTGCCATTGATTAGAATCTCTAGTACTTTGCCAAGAAGTGGTAAGAGATTAATAGGGCATTAATATGAGGGGTCAGAATGTTTTTCAGAGTTCTTAAAGAGGAGGACTTCCAACAAGCTGGAAAGCAAGAAGCAGCGATGTATTTATTATAAAGTCTGGAGAGAATGAGAGCACATTTCTTTAGGACAATTGAAGGGATACCATCAAATCCACAAGCCTTGTGGGGATCTAGTTTAGAAATGATAGCAGAAACCATGGACAGAATTATGTGCATTATCACTCAGTAGAGACTCTGTTCTTGGGGGGAAACCAGGAAAAGATACTCCTGATGAGTCAAGAATTTCTGAGCAAAAGCATTTAAATACACACACACACACACCTTATATATATATATATATATATATATATATATATATATATATATATATATATATAAACTGAGGAAATGATTAAACTTAAAGAAATAAATTTGCTGGTTGGATATCCACAGACAAAAGGCTGTAAATGCATAAAAATTTAATATATATTAAATTTTATTTTGTGGGGAAATAAAAAAAAAAAGATATTAATATTTTTGTATTCCTTAATCCTTTTTTTTGCAAATTAATCCAGGTTTATATAATATTTATATAATAAAAGAGATGGATAGGAAACAAAGATTGGAAGGGATAAGGGAAAGAATGAGGAGATACAGGCAAAGGATGAAAGGAGAGCAGAGATATGAGATAATCATAGTTGTCAACACTTGTAACTGTATAAACAGAAATCATTCTGAAAAGAAATCTTTGTGGGCAACTTTTAGCAAAGGCAAAAAAGGGGAAAGCAAATCAAAACATTAATTAAACTTAACTAGAAATGGATTTATGTATGTGATATGTACTGGTTATAAATAGTACACCCTGAAATTAAAATAAAAATGATTATGTTAAACACTTGGTCAACATGAATTTTCAAACAAAGATATGACTGACAAATAGAAAATAAATAGTACTCTTATAATGAGTATAAACTTGTGGGTGGCTCTTTTACTTTGTTTTCTCTTTTTTTTTTTTTCATCATTCCGCCCCAAGCAAGGCAATAAAGCCACTAACATGTAAGGGGTTACTGAATGTGAGAGAATGAGAAAAAGTGCTATTAAGAAGAGAGAATAATAAAAGAACAAGAATTAAGAAGACAGAAGATAACATTTGACATTGCATTTAAACTTTTGAAGATCAAAGTTGACTGGGAAGCAAGAAACCAGAAGAAAGATCCACAAATGAGAAATGTGAGAGAAGAAACTGTTAGTATAGAACTTATGTTTACATCTAGCCATTTCAAGTGTAAAATGATGAGATCTTGCCATGAATCTAATATTGTACTTAAATTCTTAAAGCATATTCACCATAAAGGAAAGTTTATTGGAACAATTACCATGAAAATATTTATAGAAAAGGCACAGGGAGGCTACATTATGGCAGTGGGAAAGTTACTGAAGCCAAGATGCCAGATCAGAACCAATAACATTGTAGATTCTTCTTTTGATTTTATCAAGAATCTCTACATACATAGCAGAAGCACTAGACCAGATGTGGCAGCAATATTCAATGTATAGATTATAAATGTGTAAGATAGATTCTGATAGGAAAAATTGTCTAGAACGACACAGTGAACCAACTTTCCTAGCAGCAGACCTAGCAATTAAAAACAACAATAATAAAAACAGTCTTTATATATATATATATATATATATATAAATTTTTTCCCGATTTGTTAATTTTTGTATATTTTTCCAATCCTACACCAGAACTTATTAGGAGCTTCCTTATTGATTTTTAATTAGTCCCTGTCACCCTACTATGGTGGGAAACCATTACACTGCAAACTTTTTTTTTAATAAAATGTCTTATGTTCGTTCGATTCATTTAAACTATAAACTGTATAAGCATAAAAATATTCAACATGATTGGATCACAATTTGTATGTCCAGCAAATGGAAAATATAGTTTAGATGAGAAGGAAGAACTTTGGGACAACTTCACAAACAATACAAAGCAGAGTAAGAAATATACATCAATGGAAATGCCAACAAAATCTATTTTTATGACATGCTCAAATAAACCTAAGTAAAAGAAATATTTTCAATTTTGTTAAAGCATTTTACTTAAAAACATTGGACATTCATTTTTGGTTATATTTCTTCAAGTGCTTGGGACAGTTTGAAAGACTTGTTTTCCCAACCAACCTATTTATTAAAACCTCTCATCTATTAATCACCTTCATTTATTACATTTCTTGATTCTTTTCCACCTCCTTGTTTTTTCTAATGTGCCTGGTCTTAGGTTTATCATCGCAACTATGACACTGTCACACTTCACAAAAATGATATATAAAGTAACACATCAAGTATTAAATAATAGACAGAGAATAGTACTAAAGAATAAGAAAGTTAAAGGAATCAGCACACATATTATGCTCAAGATATAACTATTAATAGAATATAGGAGATACTAATGATCAATTTAAGGTTCCAAAAGCAATAAAAATAAAAGTGCAAGTAAAATTCACCAACTCTTGGGTGCCAAATAAATGTCCTCTGCTTGTTAATTTTGAGATTTTTTCCCAGCCCCTCAAAACTTATTAAAACTCCCTAACCTCAGTTTATTCATTTTTGATTATTCATGATCTTCTTACTCAACAGATTGCTGGAAAATTTTGCTTTGAAATGTACTGTGGGGGGGAAATCATTGCCTTACAAATTTTCTTTCAGCAAAATATACATTCATCTTCTATCTAAATAAATAAATGGCAAATGTGTCCATGTGTCTGAAATCCCTCTAACTCAGGCCACACATTGCTCTACATAGACATATTATACCCTTTTGGAAACAGGATGATTGAAAATCTGCCCTTCATCTGGTGCTTGAACATCCAGCATTGGGATTTGTGTCCAGATGAAGTGGGGAACAGTTAAAAATTCAAATTTTAAAATAACTGAAAAAATTAGCAATTTTAAAAGATTTTAATTTATATTGAATTTAAAGTAACACAAAAACTTTGTGAATTGAGGAAATTGATTTTATTTCTTCAAAATGCCAAGGAATCAAAATTAAAGTGAGAAGTTTTGTGACATGAGGTTTTGAAGATCTGCAGAGTTTGTGATTTGAAGAACTCAATTTTTGGCCTGAATTGGAATTTTGGCCCAAATCGGTCATTTGACCAGAATTGGACTTATAGCCCAAATCAGAGTTAAAGTGAGGTTTTGAAGTTCCATGGAGTGAATTGAGAAATTCAAAGTTATTTCTTCAAAATTGTCATTGCTGTTTTCTAAGCTTGACCAAAGGTCCCTTTAGTTTTGGGCCAGAGGCCCAATTAGTCCTCCACAGGAGCTAGCTTAAAAGTCCACACGGAGTGCAACTTTGAAGCTAATTTAAACTATAAACCAGTGATTCTCTACCTTTTTTGCTTAGTGCACTCTTTTCACCATATGTTAGAATGTCATACCCCACTACATTTCTAAGATTGTCCAACTCAGAAGGTACATTCCAAATAATATACATATATTATTGAAAATCTTTTTTTGTTCCATATTAGTACATATACATTTACACAAATTATTTTTATAGAGAAGTTTTACAAATTTAATAGCAACAGAAAATGTTGATGGAGTTTTAAACTTGAATCCATGTACAGTAATTTGTTTAAATCATAACTAATTATTAAATAAACTGAAGCATACTTCAATAAATAAAATATTTAATAGAATGCAAGGGTATTGTAATTCAATAAAAAATTCTCTGAAGAAAAAGCAAGAAAAAGTAAAAGATTTCCCTCCCCAACTCTGAATTACACCTTGGTTGAGAATTCCTGCTATAAACTCTATAAATGTAACAAGATTCAAAATGTCTGAAATATTGTCAATTTCATTAACACAGTTTACGATATTATTTTGGACAGTTGTTGGAGATATTTGTTGTCTATTGATTGAGAGTTATTTATATTATAACACTGAAAAGACTTCATGTTTTCAATTTTGTTAAAGCCTTTTACTCAGGGACATTGATGGACATTTGTTTTTAGTTTATCACTTTGAAGTTTTGGTCTTGATTAAAAACTTTAACCCATTTATTGAAACCCTCAACATTTATTAGATTTTCTCATTTTTGTTACCCACCCACTTTAATTACATTTTATGACTTTATTCCCACCCACCATTTATGATGACCCCCACCTTTTATTTGGCACCCAAGTATAGTTCAAATTTTATGGGTTCAGTGTGAGGGGCAGAGCAGGTTCATGGTCCCAAAAATAAAGATGTTGATGAAATTTGCCTAGTCCATCAGGAGTTTATGGTTTCAGTATGAGGGTCAAAGGAGGAGAATAGAGGTGCCTGATATATGGACATGCCTGCTCAAAAGCAGTTCAACATTCCAAAATATAAGAGATACCTGAGGAAGGCTGGAGAATATGGCAGTCAAAACATTAAAAAAAACCCATCAATGATGAGGATATTTTTATTATTAAACTATTTATATTCAGACTATTGTCCTGATCTTTGTTGTTATCACAACATTTCGGCTGTTGTGTCTAGACATGTGCAGTGGAACAAGAACAGTTTACCCTGTAGATTAAATAAAGGGTTCAGTTCAGAATTCCCTGTAGGTTATCCAGATCAATGTACAGCTGATGAAGTCCACAACTGCTGAAATGTTGTGATAACAACAAAGATGAGGACAATAGTCTGAATATAAATAATATAAATAATGATAACTCTTCATCCAAGAAATTCAGACAGAAATTATATGAATATTAGTTTGAATGAATCAATATGCAATTCTAATGTCAATTTTGTCTAAAAGTATTTCTTACCTTGTCACTGATACAGTTGGAGAGGGATGTCTCATCGCCGTCGCCACCAGCATTGCTATAGCTGCTGTCACCGTGAGGGGGAATCCCATTGGCTGGCAGCAAGTTGTGGGTGGCTTGAGTGTGCTGACCTGGGCCAGGAGCAAGCTGACCGGTACTTGCTTGCTCCAATTTTGACTGGTCACTGTTGGCTACTGCCTCCTGGCGCTGGCTTGGCCATGGTGGTGACGGCGACTGATGCAAAGCTGTTGTTAGGACCTTTTGAGTTGTTTTGGTTGGAGTCGAGGATGGATTGCGTTCCTGGACTAAAGCTAACCTATAATACAGAGAAAGAAAAACCATAGGTATTAATGTTATTGTCATGTTCATTATGATAGTTTTTTTTTTGTTTTTTAATAGCTTATTACTCCTTAAGGTTTAAAATAGATTTTTATAAAAGTGTTAGAATTGAAAGAATAACATTGGTAATTGGTGTGGTTAGAAGATGACAATGCATCATTGTTAAAGAATTCATCAAAGAAGTAAAGAATTTTAGCTTATATAGGAATTATATTTTTTATATTATTAAAAATTTGTTATATAAAAACTAAATTTTAGACATGTTAACAAATTTATTTATTGGCTCCTTGCAAAGAAAATTTGGGATTGAGGTTTCATTCTGAACAGGTTTAAAAAAAAAAAAAAAGGAAAAAAAATATTTATATAAATATATTTCTTGTTAATTAAGCAAATAAAACTATTTTTTCCAAATAAAAATGACTATTTTTTTCAATTTCAAAAGGTCAGATATACAGTTACATATATAATGTTACTCTTTCTTTCTTTTTTCCCAATTCACCCCATACAAGGCAATAATGCTACTATGATGCAAGGGGCTGCAAAGAGTGAAAGAGAATGAAAAGACTCTAGAAGGAACTGGAAACCCAATCCTAAACAGGAAACAAGGGATAGACCTATACTCCTATTCAAAAGACCAGGAAGAAGCATGAACCAGATAATAAGTGAACCTATCTATTCCTATTGAGGAAGGAAAAAAATAAAATATAGTAAATAAAATTTCAGAGTTCAGACAGAGACATCAGAAGTATGGCAAAGGGTTAAATGGACTTCATAATCTTCTTATTGATGGAATTACATATATGTACACGCCGGACATTGTCATTAACTGAGTTGTTGTATATAGCTATATCAGATGCCAAAAATTTTAAAATTTAAATTAAAAATATAACATCCATACATTTTCAGTGTTTCCTCTTGGTGCATAATTATAACCAACATTTTCACACATTATATATATATATATATATATATATATATATATAGTACAGGTAATAAATCTATAATCCCAGTGGATCCTAGTAATGTAAAATATTAAAATTGATCCACAAAATAACACTGACATAGTTTTCATCGGTTGAAACAGATTTATCTCCCCGCTCCCATATGAGGTAATTTTGGATTTTGTTGTGTTATATATATGTATGTAAACATACAATATATATAATTCTATCAATGAGTACATTATTTTAGTCTTATGAAATCTTTTTAAAGGATGAAATGTGTTACATAGATTTTTTTTTTTTGTCATTCAGTTTCCCAACTTTGTACTGATATATAGAAATTTATATTCTATATTATTCCATAATTTTATCTATATCTCTCTCTTAGCCTTCAGCACTCTGTAAGAGAACAAAATAGTTGTACTGATACTTCAAAAATAAAAAAAAATACTTCAAAATAGTTGTAATGATACTACAGACAACTCTGATCACCAAGTAATAGTCCATTTGAATTTTGCAGTTGTGTTATCATTTCCTTCTATAGCAACAGCTAAAACAATCTTAACTGAAAATGAGAACAAAGCTACTTCAGATGAGGAATCACAAAGGGTAAGTAAGAAATATAAATAATTCAAAGTACAAAAGGTTAATTACATTTATTTAGTTTTTGCTAATTATTTAATAGTATATTCAAAATGTGTTTTCTACAGACTTGTGAAGATTACAATACCATTGGTGAAATCTTACAAAATTCTGCAAAGACTGAATGCTTCAGGTATATTATTTTACCATCATCAGGATCTTTTTAACAATAAAGAAGTTGTTTATTCTTTGTGATTATTTAAGAATATTAAAAGTTTCAATTTGATGTTTAATATTTAAGAATATAATATTGTTTGATGTATTAAATAAAATATTTTTGTTCAAATAAAACTTTATGTGGATTTTGTCAGTTTAGTTTAATATATACAAATGGTTTTCATGTTGCATTTAAACTAAGTTTTAAGATATTTTTCTTTTTTGTTCTAAGAAATAAGTTTCATAATTGCAAACAAAATTATTTTTCTTTCCTTTCTTACAAATGATTTTTTAAAATTGTAAACAAAGTTATTTTTTTTTCATTTTTAGGAATTATTTTCTTAATTGTAAACAATAATGATAATGTTATTTTTGTTTCTTAATGATTTTTTTTTAATTGTAAACAATATTTTCTAAAATAATTATTTTACCTTCCACTGTTCTAAAAGTAATGCTCCTTATTTATTTATATGGAAACTACAGTAGATACAGGGAGCATAATGACACTGGTGGATAGAGCAAGTTTTCAGCAACAAAACAGTTTCCACATAGACACCATCATTGCCTATTCATTTTTGCATTGAACATTTCATGAGTTAACAGCTGTGTATTGATGCCCAAAGCATGACTTTTCAGACTGTCAACATTATTGAAATACATTACCCATTACTTAACTGTGCTCACATTCATTATTTGGTTTCCATAAGTATTCAGCCAGTGTTAATGAATTTCAATGTGTCTAGCTTATTTATTTTTGCAATTTTTGCACCTCTGCTTTGTATGGGCTTCTGTGTCTGATACCATTTTGCCAAACTACTGCTGTCTTCCTATTTGTAACAAGACAAAAAAAAAAAAATGGATTATTGATGGGAAAGTCCAGCCTCTATTGTCATTCCACTAACATTTGCCTTTGATGCTGTGGGCCAATGTAAAATGTTTATAAAGTGACCCTTGTGTATGTATGTATATATAATTATAATTATTATTATATTTTTATTATAATAGATTATAATAAAACATTTTACATTGTTACAGAAAAGCTTTCATGTTTCGATATTATGATTGTACTTTCTCAGGCGATGGTAGATAACTTGTGATAAAAATGATTTATTAGGGAATTTTAAAAACAAATTGTTACCCCCCTTTTTAGAAGTTAAAGGTGGGGGGGTTTAAGGTCAGAATTAAAAATATACTTGTAGGTATGTCTAGATTAACCAATTAAAAGCAAGATCTATGCTAAAATAGAAAAATATGGTCAGAAGGTGGAGGTGGGTGTGTTATTTTCTTCATGTCAAGATAAACTGATGCTTAGATATGCCATCTAACAATCGTAGGAAAAATGTCAGTGACAAATGTATTATAATGTAGCCAAGTATCATAATTTGTTGAAGTACACAAAGTTATTAGAAACAATTTTTTTTTTTATATTCAGGAAGCTTCTTAAATATGTAAAATTAAAAATGTGGAACATCTATATATGATGCTAATTATACTGAATAGACAGTAAAACATGGTAATATTAAAGTTGAATAAATTAAATAAATATTGGGTGGACCATTATATACTAATAAAATAATGACTATACAATTGTATTACATAATTATTTATGAAAAGATTTTTAAAAGTGTTTTCAGGTAAAAGATAGACAATGCCGGTATAACACCATGAATTCATTTCTTTGGTTTAACAACTTTTTTGTTAGCAAACAATAATATGCAATTGTTCTTGTAAACACAGGAAACATAGATCATGTAAGGATTTACAAGTTCTAGTTTTTTAATATTTTCCATTTTATTGTAAGAGTTTTGTTAACTTCTTTTAAGTACCAAAAATATTTAGAAAGGGACATTCTATTGTTGTTGAAAGATAATGTGTGTTGATACCACCTAGTTTTAAAGGAACTTTTTGGTACTGCTGATATAAAATTTTTTTTAGCTGTAGGATTTTCTCTAGATGAAATAGTATTTAGGTAAACAGTTTGACACCTATTTTGTAATGGACATTCATTAGGATTTCTGCAGTTACACAAGTTGGTATCATTATTCGGAATGGTGATTTTTACTTAGGTTTAAGTGTTGATTTAAAATTTTATTATTGTGTTTTTTTAATAATTTTTTCAAGATTATCTGTACAACTATAGCTTAACTTAAGTGTATTTTTTACTAAAAATCTTACTAAGAGGATCATTTCTGGGAAATTGTTTCTCAATTATATTGAGAAACTTCTGTCCTAACTCAGTACTAACCATTTGGTTAAATGGGGGTGTATACCAAATGATTTTTCTGTTTCTATTTTTTTTCTTACTATCATTGTTATGTTTAATATATTTAATGCCAGGGCACTTATAGCCAATATTTTTAAGGCAGTGTTGTAAAATTTGCTATATATATATATATATATATACACACACACACACATAATAGGCTAAAAGTTTGGGGCCCCCACTCTAGATTTAATAAGTTTCATACCTTCTTTGTTTTAATTTACTCCTAATAAGCTAGGATGCTTAAATTTTTTAACCCATTAATGCACAGCATCCAATTTTTTAGAGAGAGGGTTATGTAAAATTTAAAATCCACTGCCCCTAAGATTACCATTATCCAGCAAAGTAGATTAGGCAGAATGAGGTTAAATTTATGCAGTAATGGGTTAATCTTGTCATTATTTATGAATATATGATAAAACTCTCCAAGAAGAGAAAGTCCTTCTGACCTAAAGTGAGCTTGTAAGTTTTGGAAAAGGCACAAATCTCCAATTTTAAGATGATTCTTTGAAATCATGAAAAGAGCCCAAAACTTTTGGCCTATAGTGTGTGTGTGTGCATATATATATCTATATAAAATTTCAAGTTATAATATATATATATATATTACTTCCAACGCCAATGTTAGTTTTAGTGGATACCCATAGTTGAGTAGACAATATTTAGTATTTGAGTCTATTTAACAGTGTGTAAACACTGTTCAAATACCACCCTGCACACTTGAGAAAACCTAAGGAAAATGTCACCTCCAGCTGGATTCAAACCTGTATTGCCATTTGCATATCAAATTTCTTTATAAATATATATATATATATATATATATATATATATATATATATATGAGAGAGAATGCTATATATCTTTTATGTGTCAAGAACAATATTGGAGAGAAATGTATGACAGTGGAAAAAGTTTTCTTGTGATGTATTTCACCCTTCAATGAAGTCCTAAAGGACAAAATGTGTCACAAGAAAAACTTTTTTCCACTTTGTCATACATTTTCCCTATATATATATATATATATATATATATATATATATATATATATGGAATGTTGAAGAATCCTCACCACAACAAGAAACTCTTCCCAAAACTCATGTTTAGGCATTTGCTAAAAGTGACCCTTGTAGTATATATATATATATATATATATATATATATATATATATATATATATGTATGTATGTATATATATTGAGAAGTTCTCATTACAAAGAAGGAAGGCTTTTTTTTTAAAAAAAAAAATCTCATAATTTTATGAACTTTTCAGCATTCCCTCACATATATAAAAATATTATATCTATTATTTGACTGGGTGATTTTTATGCCTGTATACACTGACCTTTTAGATAACCAAAAAAGTGGTTCACAGATTAAAAATATACTATATAAATCATAATATGAAAAAAAGCCAGTTATGATCTAAAAATGACTTCAACACAGTCAAAAACATCATTTTTTTTCAGTTGGCCATTTTTTTCTTATATGTTCAAATTATTTGATAATAATTACAATTATATTAACCTGTTCAGAATTATAAGATGCACTTTAATATGTGAAAAAAAAACTTTCCATAAAGTAACATTTGTTATAAAATTGAAACCGAAGAATAAATACAAGATAACAAATGTAATATGTTGTAAAAACTGATAAACATTTTTATTTATTGATAAAACACCCCATTTTTTTAAAATTTCATGCAACAATAGAAGCAGAAGAACAAAATAAAAAAAAATACAAGATGTTAAAAAGCAAACAATTCACGCTTTGTTAGCGGATAAAAAGAAAACAAAATTGTAAGTGTCAGAACAGCAAAATGGGAAATAATTTTTTGTTTGTCAAAGATGGAAACAGCATGAAAACATTTTTGGATTAATTGCTATTTGAACAAAATTAACAACAAGTAGCATTAGTCGTGATGTTATTTTGAATTTATTTCTAGATAAATCATTGTCAGTTATTGTTAGTTTTGTCTAGTGTTTCTTTCATTGTATTTCTCTTGCCCTTTATAGTAACCATTTAAACTGGTATATGGAAACCGAACATAGAATAGGTTATGTGAAGTTGTTTCACTCGACACTGCAAATTGCTACAAAAACGAAACATTAACATGAAAACTTGAGTCATGCTCTTAAATAACCTCATCAGATCAAGGCTTTAATGTGGATGCTATGCATGGCAACAAAATCATTCAGAAATATCGAAACCAACATTTCTCAAGCTTTTTACTCTTGTGGAACTCTTGAAATAGTTTTCATGTCTCATGGAACCCTTGCATAAAAATTACGTATCATTATTAATATCTACCTCTTTTATATTTTTATCATAGTTCATATGATAAACATAATATATGGACACCATGTATGCATCCTGTAATTGAGTGAGTCATTTAATGATAAACGAATCTAACACCATACAAGTCCTGTCCACTAAACAGTGAAGGTGGTTTCACACTGACACCATATAGACATCAGTAAATACATTTCCTATGATGATTATAAGCCTTTATTATAATAACCAAGGATTTTCCAACAATATGCCATATATGTATAGTAAAATTACGAATATAAAATTAAACAGAAATTACTCAAAAATGCATTAGCCTATTTATCAACATTTTTTGCAGAACCCCTGGGAAACGCAGGTTGAGAAACACTGATCTAAACTATCAGCTGTATACAAATGCTTTCTTAAATCAACAGTTAAAAATGGCTTTGAGTGAATAAAGCATGTAGGTCTTAGCGAAGACCATCCTCATTCAAACCTTGGGGGCTGGTTCTACAGAATCACAAACAAAGAACTGTATAAAAGAAACTCTAAAACTTAAGGACAGACTTTCATCAGGTAAAATAGATATAGCATATAATTTGAAGAGAAAATAATGACATAAGTTGTTTCAAAGAAAAGGTTAGGAAGGAAGTCTTTATCAGTACTGGATTGACTGATTTATTTTCTACAGCTTAACCTTTTGCAGGTTATTTAAAGCCAGAAAATATTTTAAGATTGTGAAATATTTTGGAGGGAGATAATAATAATTTACTGATACAAGTATTACTGCTTAACCCATAGCTAGAGGTGGTTTGATGCCTTCCCCAAGGGTATTAGTGTATAGGTGAATATAATGAATCCAGCTGGAAATGGAACTTGACTCTCCGATTTCCAATTTCAAGCCATTATCCATAACACCACCTGCACATCCAAGTTTACAACACCTGGTATTCTCAAGCAGTCACCCATCTAGGTACTAGCCAGGCTTGATGCTGCTTAACTTTGGTGATCTTATCAGTTCAGAAAAGAGTGATAATTTAGTGGACTTGAGAAATGTATTTTCCTGAAAAATTGTTTTAAGAAAAAGATTTTATAGACTTCAACCAAATATAGCACTGACTGGTCAGTGAATGCTGAATGTTTCCTTGTAAGGAAACCGTTAATATTAACTTTACTGGTACCATTCTACAGTCATGACAAAGCAGCACAGATTGGAAATAAAATATATACCTATGATAAGATTCAGACTCATGTCTCTTAAAATGATAGTCTGAGGCATGTAATAAAAAGCAACAGAAATGAGATGAAAGAAATGCGAGTCAATTATTAAAAAGACTTTCCAAGGAAAAGTAAGTTCACATTTTGGCAGTTTTTCTTTATCTTTGATCTGCACGGCTTGTTAACAACTGTAGAATGGTTCTTTTACAATTACAATGAAAAGTAAGAGAAATAAGATTGAACCCTTTATTTAATCTATGGGGTTAGAATGTTCTCATTTCACTACCCATATCTAGTGATAACTCATCTAGTTCTTATTTTTAGTACTGCTCAGTTATTCCACAGTGCCTAGTGGATTAAAGTGTGTTGGTTTTTGAATTTGGTGACATAGTAACTGTGAGTTCAATCCCTGGAAATGGGGACAAGCAATAACTGAGCAGTAGTAAAAATAACAGCAAGACGAGACATCCCTAGACATGGGCAGTGGAATGAAAACTATCAATCTTTGTAGATTAAATAAAGAATTCAGAATTCCCTGTTGGTTACCCAGATTGATATACACCTAATGAAAGCTGGAGAGCACAGCAGCCAGAATGTTATAAGAATAACAACAAGGATAAGGACAATAGTCTGCAGGTAAATAGTGTAAATAATGATAACTCCTCATCCCAGAAATCTTGACAGAGAAAAGGTGAAAGAAATACCAGTCAAAAATTAAGTGTAATATTAATTATACTTTACTATCTCATAATCATATAGTTATTGGATACAAGTCATTTTTAGAGTTACTTTCATCTTTTATGTTTTAATAAAGCTTTTTGTGTTTTAATGTAGACTAAAATAATTTTCCTGTATTTGTAAGTGCAGGTAGTGTAATGGTTAACAGCTCAGAAAGAGAAATTAACGTGCTGAGTTCAAATTCCAGTCAAGCTCATTAATTTCATACAAATCTTCTATATACTGTCTCCCTTCAGGACATAGGCGATCATGACTCCCACAATTTCTTGTCCTTTAGAGCTCTTAATAAATTTTGGCTTTTTGTTACCTCTCCTAAACTCAATCTTGTTAGGTAGTTTTCCTCTGTCCCTCATTCAATCTTTCCTGTGAGTATCAAATTTTCCAAACCCTCTTTCCTCATTATGTTCCCTAGAAATTTCAACTCTTTGTTCCTGATGTTAAACATAAGTCCTTTTTATTTCCATTTTCTCTAAAACTTTGTTGTTGCTCACATGTTTCGGTTCATGGTATTCTCAGCATCCTTCTGTAGAACCACATTTCTGTTGCTTTAAGTCTCTTCTTCATCTGTAAGAAGATTGAAAAGTATGAATCCATCTCGTCTCCTCCTAATTATGGGTTAAATAGCAAGGCAGACTGGGCTCTTTAGCCTTGGCTGGCAACCAGTTTGGGAGAAGGACAATTCTGACTTCAAAACCATAAAAGCTATATAAAAGATTATGCATTCCTGATTAATTACAATGTGGGGTTTTGTAGACTATGATCTTGAGGGTGGTCAATGAGGTAGGTAGGTAGGTAAGTTGATGTTATAGATATTTATTCAATGTCTGTAAAGTGTGTCAACAGTTTCAGTTCTAGATGAGGGAGACCAGGAACACTGAAGTGTAATATATGTATGAAAGTAAATATTAATTAAATATTTTTGTTTATTTTCTCCAAAGTAAATAACGAGCAAGATATATACATGTTTTCTCATACGGAGTTGTAAATGCATTCATATAAACTCATGAAAACAAAGTTAAAAACAGTAAAGTTATTATATAATAATTACAGGTTTTGTACATGACAATGACAATTTGGCAGTGTTTTGAATTATGTAAATAAATGTTTATACAAACCAAAGGGAAAAGTGTAAGAGCCACTAAGACACAACAGAACAAATTTAATTCAAGAGTAAAACTAAAAAAAATAAATAAATGTAAAATATACAAGCCAAGCAAAAAAAAAAAAAATGCTAATTATCTTTTTGTTTTTAAATTTAGCTGAAAATACAAAAAAGTTGGTTAATATTTTACATTTTGGAGACAGATTAATGCTTCAGAGATACAAAATATAAAATTTGTTTTAGTTAATCTCTAGAGTAAATCCATTCTAAACCAGCACTTCTCAAACATTCCACTCTTGAGCCCCCACTTTAGATCAGATAGAACTTTTCACAATCTCTGACTGCATTGTGTCCTAAGATTATAGGTTTTAACCATTAAGTACTAAGACTGTGATTGACTGATTGTGTTTAACGACCCCTCAACCTTTTGTGGGTCATTTAGAGCCAAATTGATTGTTTTGTAAACATATTTTATAGTTGGTCAAGTATGGATGAGAGTTTTATAACTAAGATTGTGATAGTGTACTGAAAAGTTCACAGTCTTACCAAGGGATTAAAAAAAATAAGAATTCTGATGTTTGGACATTTGGTCAGAATTTGGGAAGTGGGTTGGTCCAGGATCTTTTCAGCACCACATTATATATACAATTAGTCTTTAGTCACAATCTAGCATTAACTAATAATGGAGTCTGAGTAATTCTGTAATTTGTTAGAAATTGTGACATAACCATTAGGTGTATGTAAAAGTTTGTCTTTTTTTGAAAACATTAGAAGACTTGATATTTCTGAGATGGTGTATTGTAACTATTTACATTGTTTGGATTGTTGTCCTCATCTTTGTTGTCAGGTTCATGGTGTTTCAGCTGCTGTACGTTGAAATGGCATGGCATGTGGAACTAGAACAATCTAAGATGGTGGATGAAATAAAGGGTTTGGTTCAAAATTCCACTGTATATCATCTGAAGAAGGTCAGAGCATACTACGGCCAAAATAGGGTGAATATGCCAATAAAGATGAGGACAACAGTCAGAACAATGTCAATAGTGCATTAGAAACTTATTCTCTCTCTATATATATTCTTTTTCTTATGCATATAAGAGTGCTCTATTTTAAATACTTTTAAAAAAGATTTTTAATACACAAAAATAACATTTTTTGATTATTTACCCATTAACAGTGTTTCACATAGTCCAATTTTCAATAGAAACAAATGTCCATTTTGAAAATCTTATTGGTTTTACTTAGGTAGGACTTCTCAATCTAGGCCGGTTGCTATTAATTTCACAATTTAAGTAAACAAAACCAGGGATAAAACCTCAAGCACATGTGCCCACTAAAAATAACAATTTTTATAGTAATAGTAAGTAGTATCAGAGAGTTGCTTTTTATATATATATATATATATATATATATATATATATATAGAGAGAGAGAGAGAGAGGTATGATAAAAAATATAGTTTTAAGGTATATTTATGGGTTAAATTGCTCAATATCATGCTTAAATGCAATCACCTGATGATTACATTTAAGCATGAAACAGACTGTTGCTGCTGAGTGTTGACTTCAATGTTCACTTTTATATATACCTGCATATCATGTGACTTTTGAAGACCTAATTTTGAAGTTAATTTTAAGGGGGTCGCATCATATATGAGATATAAAATTAGTGTATGTACTGCTGGCCCTGGCTATGCTGTTGATCAAACTATATATCCATTTGCTGTAGCCAAATTAGGTCTTCAAAGGTCACATGATCTGCGAGTATATATATGAGAAGAAAATCAAAAAAAAAAACTTTTCTTTACAGATGCATTTCATCCTCTGATGGACTTTTTCAAGGCAAATGTAAATTTTTTCACCTTTGATAACAATTTTTATAGACAAAAACTTGGTTTACTGATAGGTTCCCCTTTTAATAGCAATTTAGCCTTTCTATATTTTGAATTTTTAGAAAGTAATCATTTGAAAAATATTTTACATAAAAATTCTTCTTATTTTAGATACATATGAAACTAACAACACATTACCCTTCTTAGATATGCTACATAGAATCAATAATGACTTTCAAATAAAAGTTTACAGAAAATCTACCAACAAGAATGAAATCATTAACTATTATTCTCACCAATGTAACAATAACATGTGGAATAATTTTAGGATTTTATTTAAGTGCACTAAGAATCTGCAGCCCCCAATATTTGCCTGAAAAAGAAAAATACATAGAAAACACTTTTTAAAACCTTTAATATCCTCATTATTTTATCTGCAATGCTATGAGAAAGGCATAGAAAATATACAACTACAAAAAAATAATGAGATTAACAACAATGACAATAAACTAAATAAAAACAAACATATAATATTATCTAATAATTCCTTGATATCTACTATCCAAAACAATTTATCCAATCTTAACAATATCATATAATAACAACCACATCCAAAACTATATAATAATTCTGAAGTGGGTATATATAAAATTGTTACAATTGTTTCTTATAATATATTGGGGAAACTTGCAAGAATTAAAAAAAAAAGTATCTATGAACACAAAAAGGATCTTATATACAACAATTTATCAATTTCATTAGTTATACATAGAAATAAGTTTAGCCATAACTTTGATCTAAAAAATTCCACACTTATTAAAAGAGAAAGCAACTTACTTAGTTGGAAAATTCTTGAGAGTGCTGCTATCAAATCTTACCAAAATATAAATCTGCACCCTGGATTTGTTCTGCTTTCCTAAAAGATATACTCCTTTCCTAAGTCAATATACATGACCAGAAAATTTTTTAAAAATTAAAAGAAAATAGTTATATTCAAAGCCTTCCATTATTCAAAATAAATACATAATTTGTTAAATTAAAATAATAAATACATTATAAATATAAAAAAAATATTTCAACAATAAACATTTACTCACTTTCATTAATGAGACATTAAATTACATCACTTAGC